AGGAGAGAGAGGAAGAGGAGGGGGAAGGGGAGGGGAAGGAAGAGGAGAAGGAGGAAGATTGTGGGTTGCTTGGTGCTTTCTGAACTGCTTGTTTTCTTGCAGACATTTCATGACCCAGCTAGGTAACATCATCATTCATTTGGTCATGAAACGTCCCCAAGGAAACAACCAAGCCCAGTAGTCCCTTTCTGTTTTGGAGCCTTAACTGACCTGATCGTCATTTCTCCAAACCAACTTCCTCAACCTTAGCAATGAGCTGCCTGGGGAATGTTGGGAGTCAAAGTCCAGAAAGATTAAAGTTGCCAAAGGTTGAGGAACGACGATGCTCTGAATGCCTGGCCTGCTGTCCTTTATGCAGTGGAACCCCCTGTTGATGCTTCGATCTGTTCTCCTTTTTTTTTTTCAGAACATGACGACCGCGTGGGCCCCAGCAACAGGAACTTTGTGCGGAGGAGAAAGGGCCGCGTCCCTTTCCGGGGGAAAATGTACAGCGAGATGGGCCATCACCAGCGTGGCTGGAACAGTTCTGGGTCCGGTTCTCGTGGCTGGCTCGATGACGACGATGGAGACGTTCTCATGAGCGACGCCCACGAAGTGCTCCGAACACGCTAGTGAGAAATAGATTCTGTGGGATAGTCGGGGAATACTGTCTGCTTGTGAGAGGAATCCTTGTTCTAAAGCCTCAATCATCCTTCTGGTCCCTGTTTTGGTTCAATGCGTTAGTCTATATGTGGAACCTTCCCATGTAAGATGAAAAGTAGGCACTGGGGGGAAAAAAATCAGCCTTTCCTGCCTAACCAGATCCGATTCATTGCTTAGCAATTCTGGGGTTTGCTTCTAGGAAGCTGGGGAATTGAGGTCATCTGATTCATTTGCTTTCCTAGTAATTAGACAAAGAGCCACGAAAGTTAAAAGACAGCAGCTGGACAACTAGTAATTGGAGCCTGTTCGTGATTTAGAAATTAAATGGTGCTAGCATTCTAGGTCGCTTACTTTATTAAACTATAAGTGTAACTTTAAAACATTAAAAATTATAGGTAATCCTTGACTTACGATTCGTTTAGCAGCCGTATGAAGTCACAATGGCACTGAGTAA